TCTGTAAGTATTACCTTCATCTATCACTACTACCGATGGCATTAAATTGCGGTATCTAGGTGATTTTGAAATACGACTATTACATTGCTTTAAGGTTGCAAATTCAGTGTATTCTTCTTCTTGCTGCCATGATTTGGATTAATTTATGGGGGTTGGATCTTGTATTGCAGGATATACATTTTCAGGGTAAGGAGCTGAGAGAAGCGCCTGCTCCCCTTGGTTATCACTAAGGTTTGCCCTGGTCTGTGGAGATTCTTTCAGATACTTCTGCTTGTGTTGCATATTTGAGTTTTTTCTTTTATTTTTCTATTTTGATCATTGAATTTTTTTTTCTAGCTTGTAAATCATATTTCCCCCCCTTATTTTCGGACAAAATTATCTCATGTTCTCATTACTTTTATCTTTAAAAAGGTTAAAATATGTTTCATTCATTTGAAGTTTTCTTTTCAAAGTTATTGATGTAATATTTTGAAAAAGAAAATTTGAGCCAATCGCACCATATGTCCTCAAAGTAATACTTTTATTTAAATTGGTCCTTGAACTTTTAAATGTCCTAATTTCATTCTTAAACTATGACTATCATTTCAAATTAGTCCCATATTATACATGTATATTAATCACATCTTTTGTTAATAAAATCGTTAGTTCACGTTATATTATTGTATATTTGGAGAGAGAGAAATTAAGTTAAACTACAGCTGAAATATTTTGGATGAATTTGTGAATAAAATTGGAATATTTAAAAGTTTAGGGACCAATAAAGAAAGAGGTGATGCTTTAGGGATGAAATTAGAATATTTAAAAGTTTAAGGATCAATTTAAAATGAGTGTTATAATTTGGGGATGTATGATGCTATTAACTCATAAAAAATCACATAAAAATATATTTTAGTGGATATGAATTTAATTTAATATAATTTTAACAGTATTGGATTTATTTTTTAAAATAGAATATTTTTTTTTTGGAAAATATTTATAGAAATTATAAGGAGTACAACGGTTTAAGGAGTTATACTAACAATCAGTTGGTCTAATGAGATGAGTCACTAAGTTTTTTAAGCAAGGTAAAGAGTGTGAATCATGACGTTTGCGAATGCAGCAAATTGAGTTGGGAGGGTCGCCCTCGCCTCTACAGTATCTGATTTGAATTAATTAGTTAATAGATTGAATACCAATAATTAATTCAAAGAAAAAAGAATTCTAACCATTATAAAAAATGTAAGTAATTGGATTTAAAATTTTGAACTATAAAAGGTTCCCATTTTAAAATAAATAAAAAACTATATTCAAAACGGAAAGTATAGGACTTGAAGCGTATTTTAACCATTATAAAATATTTTAAATTCTAATATGCCTGAGCCCGGGTTTAAACCGGGGACCTCCAGTGTGTAAAACTAGCGTCACCGTGATACCCAACTGCACCACCCAGACTGATTTGTTAGTTTTCCGTGGCCCATTTTAATCAAGAATAAAAATGGTTAGGGTAAACTACAACGAATGCAATTAGAGACGGGTGCGGAACCCAAACCTGAGAAAAAAAATTGGGTTTGAGTTGAGTTGGATTGAATTGAGTTTTTTAGAAGATATGTTCGGGTTAGATTCTAGTTTAGTGTGAAAAATATTCGTCCCGACTTAAAAAATAATGCAATTATACCTTTTATATATTTATATATATATATATATGGATAATTGTAATAATACACATATCTATATTATTTTTTCAATTAGATCTCTATTTTTATCGAATGAAATTAATATTTTTTTATAAATATATATTTTGTCCATGCATGTGCATAACAGGCAGCATTGTCTTGCAACTTCCATTTCATTGTCATTGATCTAATTTAAGGCGAAGGAACGACAAAAAAAATGCAATTGAATACGTGATAAAAAAATATAACATTTTCTGTTAGACGTAACTTAAAATGTCATGAAAAATGTAACATTTTCGGTTTAATAAAAAATATTAGAAAAAAGTTAACATTTTAAATTGTGTCCTACAAAATATGTTATGTTTTTATCACATTTTCGATCTTGCTAATTCCCAATAGTTTCTTAATCTTAAATTATGCCGTTGTACCTTAAATTTCCCGATCATATGGCCATTGTTAAACTTGAATTCTTTTGGCAAATGGGTGCCCGATCACATGGCCATTATTAAAGGCAAAATACTATACCAACATGTTCAATAATTTAGCCAGAGAAGAAAAAGAAGACTATTCTTTCTTGTTTATCCTCAAGGATCGCCTTTGGTAGATTGTCTCCTTTATTTTGGGTACGCATATTCAATGGCCTATGGCTTCTACGTGGGATCCTTCACCAAAACAAAATGGGAGATGAAAAATCACTGTGGCCGTTAAAATTGTACGGATTAATTGGTTGAATCGGTTAAACTAAAGATTGATGGCTCAAGCGACTAAATTAGTGTGGTATAATTAAAAAATGTATGGACATTTACGGTTTATTAAAAATAATAAAAGTCAAAATAAAATTAAGGTAAAAAAGGCATCAGATCCATGTAATTTTGAAAGAAAAAAAATCAATGTAGCCATCCTATTATTTTTTTCTCTCAATGTGGCATTCCAACTCAGAAAATAAACTCAATGTGGCCCTTTGACCAATATTTTTTTTCGTTGACCGTTACGGTGCTGGCGTGGTAGTTCACAGTGCTGATCTGTCAATCCATTTGACATGTTTGATTTACCAATTTAGCCCATTTGTTATTTCATCCGCAACGTAATCAACCACTGTGGACTGTCATGGCAATACAATGACGAAAAACGTTGGTCAGAGAGTCACATTGAATTTATTTTCTGAGTTGAAGTACTATATTGAAAGAAAAAATAATATGAGAACCACATTATTATTTTTAGACAGAGACCCTTATGGATTTTTACCTAAAATTTATAGGCTGAAATTTTCAAATAATGCTTTGGAAAAAAAAATCTCAAATAAAGCTGTGTAGAAATTATTTCGCGAAATAGGGTGAATGCTACAGAGTACCCCGAAGTCGCGATGCCATCCCAGTCCAAACCCCCTCGAAGACACATTGTGGTCGGCGAGCAAGGAGGAGTTGCATGCCCTGCAATGCATCTCCCAAAGGAGGGCCACTCTCCCGGGTGCTGGGTTGCAAGTGGCTGCATGCGTCTCCTGGCGGTCCCCTCGCATGGCCGATAATGTTGTATGGCATGTCACTCACGTAGATGCAATAGGTAGCTGACATTCAAATGATAAAAATTTAACTCATACCATATAATAACAAGTTGAACATTAATTTTTTTTTCTTTTAACTATATATAAGAATGAAATCGAGGCAATTGCAATTCAGAAAATTGATAGAGGGAGTAGAAGCAGTTGTAAAGAAGATTACAGAGGGAGCATTTTAAAAAATTTAATGTATTTTTCTTTCGTTATTCTAATTTGAGTATGTATTATATGGTAAATTGGTTTAAATTTCTATTATTTTGTCTGATATTAGTCTAATAGTTTGTTAATTTTTTTACATAATGAAGGTGAATTAAGTTTGAATAAATTTTATTTGAGGTATTTTACTATTGATTATTATGTTAATATTATTTTTATAAATATTTGTTAATTTTACGATTGTTGTTATGTTAATATTATTTTTATATTATATAATATAATCTTTTAATTAAATTTTATAAAAAATATATTTGAAAACAATATAATTAAAGATTTTTAAAATATATTTTTATCAATAATAAATTTTAAATAATAATTAACCACTTAAACCAACCCACTCAGAGACTCACCTATTAAAGCTAAGTGTGCTACCCAGATCGATTTGAATTAGTCAAGACAAAATATTGAGAACCGAAAAGAAAAAAAAGTCAATAATGCACATCTTTCTTAGGATAGGGGGAGTATTCAACGTCAAATCATCACACGATAAATATCTCTTAAATAATTTTCTTTTTAGATTTGATAACGACCGTCTCCAAAATTTGATAATTGACATCTTATATTTTTGGATAAGCTATGTATTTAATACCTAAATTATCAATTTTGATTCATTTTAATATCTAAATTTACAATTTTTTTCAAAATCATGCTTAACACTTAGTTTTTGTTTCATTTTAATATCTCGCCGTTAAAAATTTAACGCTTTTAATGCATAAACTATAAATTTTGGTACATTTTAGTACCTAAACTTTCAATTTTTTCAAAACTTAATGTTAAATTTTGAACATGAAACAAAAACTAAACTTTAGGTATGATTTTGAAAAAATTGAATGTTTAAGTACTAAATTAAACTAAAACTAATAGTTTAGATACTAAAAACATAATTTACCCTATTTTTTTTGTTTAGGCAGGAGACATTCAACACAAACGACATTACACGACAGGAATCTATTACTCCCTCTAGCTCGTAAAATATGCTCATCATTAACTTTTTTGTTTAAATTTTTTAAATTTTGATTAATTATTATTTAAAATTTATAATTGCTAAAAATATATAAAATTATATCTTAAAAACTTTTAATCAATTAGTTTTCAAATGTATAATTTATAAAATCTATTTATTTAAAATATTTAAAATAACCATAATCAAAGTTTAAAAATTTTAACTTTTAAAATATCAATAAAAGATATTTTTTTACAAAGTAAATCATTTCGTCTATAGATTTGGTAATGACCATTTTCAGATTTGATAACCTTTTTTTTTAATTTGACCATTAATATTTTCCATATTAGTTTTAATTTTTTATAATTATTTTAATAATATAATACTCTGAAATTACACCAAAATTTAAAATTCAGAGAATAATGTTGTTCAATTCCTTCCCCATATCAAACTTTTTTAAAGATTCATAATTAATCTGAAAACTGTTAATTCAACAAAAAATCTCTTCAATATTTGATATCTAATCTATTCTAATTTTGATTCCAACAATATTAAATATCCGAATTCCTCTATTCTGGAAAAATTATTAGATATTCAATCATAATGTAACGATTCAATAATTATTTCAATGTTGGGGTTAAAACTAATTGGGCTGCCTCCTTAATTACTAAAAGTTCTGTATTTGTACCTCGTTTCCATCTAAGAGGGAGACACTGAAAACAGGCACAGCTTCAAGTTATGTTATGGAGTCAGGTTTCTTCAATTTTCCTTTTGCACGATCCTCTGCAAAATCCGTGTTAATATCGATCGTGGCATGCGGTTGCGCTGATGATCCGTGAGGTTGCTGCTGTTCCAAGGAAAATCTGAATCTTAGAAGCAATGAATTTGTTACCACCCCAATAGAACTGAGACCCATAAGGGCTCCGGCAATCGATGGCGTAAGCATGGTCCCCGTAAACGGCAGTAATGTACCGGCAGCTATTGGAATCCCAACCTATATTAGTAACCGAAGAAGCATTAGATGGTTTTGCCAGAAGAAAGCGAACAGTTACAAAGCACATGCCGGATTCTGCCTTTTCAGACAGGCAAAGGCATCTCATATTGAAGATAACTTGCATGAAAAGGATGTTAAAAGAAGAAAGGATTTGTAAATAATTGGTGATAGTCGGGGCAGCAACCACTTGTTCTATCAGAGTCTACTACTTGCTTTAAAAGAAGATGGTTTGGCGTGTTTCAGATGTAAATAATGCTAAAAAGCTTACAAGGTTGTATGCGAAGGCCCACCAAAGATTTTGCTTCACCGTCTTCATTGTTAGCCTGCTAAGCGCCAAGGCATCAAGCAACTGCATCGAGATAAACCGAGTCAACTCACGTTACATTTGATACTGCGTAATATGGATAGCTGATTGTAGAAAAGGCAACTGAATTCACAAATTTTAGTTTAAGAAAATACCTGTGACAGCCGATTACCCATCAATACGATGGAAGACACTTCGCTTGCAGCACCGACACCACCACCCATGCCAACTCCAATATGTGCCGAAGCCAAGGCAGCAGCGTCATTGATTCCATCACCAACCATAGCTACCACATTTTGATTCTTCTGAAGTTGACTTACAAAGTTTCTCTTCTCATCTGGTTTAACCTCAGAGATCACCTGAAAAACCATATAGAACTATCTTTATTATTTAATCAAGCTCAGTTTAATCTCTGAATATTGCACACATATGGTATCTACATCATAAACTTGTAAAATGGGAAAATCTACTACTGCTTTTCTTCTGTACTAGGAACAGAGTATCTCAGACCGAGAGTCTTTTTAATCATTCATTCGGCATGGATTCTTAAGTTGTACTGCCTTTTATCTTGTTATTCTTCTGTAAATTCCTTCGTCAACTAATGCTAGCGGCATAAACCCTAAACATACATACAACAAATTTCTTCTGATAGTAATTACAGTTCATATATTTAATGCTTTAGCTCATTTATGTAGTGCCTAGACCTATGAGATTGATTTCGGATTCATAACGGCTAGTTGTCTACACAGATGTCAACCGTTAATTCCTAATGCCAGCCAGAATATGCTAGTTTCGATAATGATTTACTAAAAAGCCCATAAACGACCCAAGTAGCTCTAACCGTCTCTTTTTCCTGCAGAACTCAACAAAAACTAGCAGATAATTTCACACCAGATACTAACCTATATGAATTACTTGTTCCATCATAAAAGAACAACTTACTTTATCCTTTGGAATTCCGACAATTGATGCAACATACTCGGCAGTGGCCCTTTTGTCCCCAGAAAGCATGTACACACTTACTCCTTGCCTATGCAAAGAATCAACAACATGCCTGGCATCTTCTCTGACCTGATCCTCGAAATAAATAAGACCGGCAAGCGCATTATTCACTCCAACATAAGCCACGGATTTATTCTTAAGCTCCTCATCTGCTTCCAAAACCAAACTATCACGAACTCCATTCCTGAAGAAAATAGACTCCTATGTCACGCAGAAATTACCTACTGATGTCTATATTACAAGGAGAGTCCTAGTATGTATCAACACTTGGCTGATTATTGACTGTGCTATATTGAATTGATTGGCCCTCTCATAGAAACAAATATGACAAATAATTAAAAGGGGTTTGGGGTCTTTGTACATTCCATAAGCCATATTAATTATGATCAATGTGATTGGCTTTCTAGGGTTACATAAGTAATTCAAGACAAAATAGCTAAAAGGCTTGAAACTAAAAAAGATAATCTCTCAGCGTTTTCACTTCAATTTCAAGAAAGAGTGCCGATTGTAAGATTTTTCATCCTTGAAGAGAGAGAAAATATTATGATCATCATGAAACATTATGGTTCTGTTTGCTTTGCCGATTACTACCTCATTCATAAACACTCATAACAGGACAGTTAATGTGATTCAGAAGGATAAATTTAGATTTTGAATAATGCTGAGGCACAATGATAGCCACTCGACAAAAGGATTTAGGATTACAACTATTGTCACAAAAATTAATGAATTTGTTCATATGGAGTACATTCACTAGTATATTATAATACTTACGTTGATACAAATCATGTCCAAAATTTTTAAAATGGAAGTGACTAACAGAACCATTCTTTAAATCCAGGGAAAAAAGGTCTAACACAGCAATTCTCAAATCTAAGTCTCCATAAAAGCAACTTCAAGTGCAGAATGCATATGGAAGCAATAGTGAAAGTAAATGGGAGGAAGAAAAAACATGAATACACTACCTTCGAACCCACTCTAATGTCCCAACCGACACTGTTTTATCATCAACGACAGCTACAGCTCCAGATCCAGGTTCCTCAACAAATGTTCCGTCCACCACCTGCAAGGGTAGCCTTTTGCATGATAATCACAGCCAATAGACAAACGGGAAGGACATCATCACAGTCCAGGCAGATCTAACGAACATGGATGTTTCAACACATCAGAAAGAACGTAACTGTCATTGTAAGTTTATGACAACTTGAAAGCTGAAAAAGAAGATAAAGAAAATCCAAATCTGATTGAAAGTGACAGCAAAAGGATGTAACATTGAAAGCTAAGTCACTGTTTCTTGTTTAGGGTAGATTTGCACATTTCTTATTACATAATTATGTATCAAAGAAAGGATTAAATGTACATCTAAACAGAAGCCCATAACCAAGATGAGAAAAAAAAAGCACCTTTATATTTGGACATTTTGCAGCCTGGGAAGCTTCTACAATCGCTTTACCAACTGGGTGAATCGTATTTGATTCTACAGCAGCAGCCAACTTAAGAACTTCATCTTCTGACCAAATATTATCAGAATGTTGTCTACATCAAGCACACATTTCATAATCATTAAAAACGTATAATCCGGAAAAAGCTGCACATCATCTTTCATGAAAGCTGATTGCTTAAAACTATACCATATCATCTAAAAGCACAAAAGGATACTATTATAATTGCATCCAGAACCCTCACAACTACCATTGACACTTATAATGAGATTTTTTTCATTAAAATAATGCTTAGAAACTTTCAACTGAGACCTGGACCAAGATATCTTCTATCCAGCCATTATGTGGATGCACCATCAAAATTATATATTCTGAATTAATTTCGTATCATGGATTTAAGAACTGGTATTTTAGCAAATATTATACTTCCACAGTGAAGAACTTAAAATAGTAGTCAGGATGACACCTATACACAAATTTATAAGCTAGGAACTGGTCTTTTAGCCATTTTAAGGCTAAAAGTTTCAGAAACCACTCAACCTGGAATCGCTATGATCCATGCCACTTGGAGTTACAACCTTTGTCACAACAGGTCTGCCAATGGTAAGGGTTCCCGTTTTGTCAAATACAACTGCATTCACCATAGAAAATTTCTCTAAAATATTTCCACCACGCAAAAGCAATCCTCTTGTTGCCCCTAATGAAGTTCCAACCTGAAAAATCAAAATACCCAATATAGGCCATAAAGTATCAAATACAACTTTTAACTGTCACTAATCTAACATGGTGTACAATGTGAATCAAGGGGTTACCAGCATAGCTGTAGGTGTGGCTAGACCCAGTGCACATGGACAAGCAACAACCTATGCCAAGAGATAAAGGTTCACTCAGACTAGAAGGTAAAGAAATAAAACATGGAACCCACACATTTACATCAGACTACGGAGTAAAGCAACAGTTGGAGTTGCACTTAGAAGAAGCAAAACCAATCAATTCATTAATAAACCTCATTCGATACGGATATAGATTTCCATATATTATACCAGAACACTGCAGGAAAGCTGCAGGGCAAGTGAAACTGCACTTCCTTGATAAATGGAAGCTGGAATAATTTGTGCGCCAAACAGATTCCAGAACATAAAGGTAGCGACAGAGAGAGCCATCACTCCATAAGTGAAGTGTCCAGCCACCTGTAATTCCAAAAAGACTTTTGAGAAAGTGGAACTACCTTTCACTAATAGCGAACAACACTGTTGAAAGAAATGACATTCTCTGTAAAACTCATATATTTCTGCTGTAGGTAGTGTTACATATTTATGTACAAGTAGCAGCCTTAACTTAGGAAACTCTTAAGCTAGGAAAGTAACTAGTTCTAAGGAATATACAATCCCTTAAAGTAAGGGATTATAACTACTAAAAATATTCACAGAATCCTATCTTAATTATTCATAATATTCCTAATTTAGGAATCTATTTTCTGACAAACACACGCCATGGTCCTTTTTCTTTCTGTCTCAATACACCCATTAAACAAGAAAGCTAAACGAGGATACAGCTCTATTATGTTGAATAATTATTTCAGTTCTTTATATCAAAATTTGAAATGGGAAAAAGACATTCTTAGCCCATTGAAGTATGAAATAAGTTCTGCAAAAAGTATAGGGTACAAATTGAAGAACCTTGTCAGCCAACCGCTGCACTGGAGCTTCCCTGCTCTGTGCTTCTTCCACCAAACGAACAATGTCTCCCATTGCAGTCTCACCACCGGGTCTCCTCACTTCAATTGTTAGAGTTCCATTGAGGTTTATGCTTCCAGCTGCAACTTGACTCTAGAAAAAACATAAGTTTCACGTTGGTAATTTGGTATAATATGATCAAAGGAGGCAGCTATTAATACTATGGACTTGGTGATTATCATTAGATGATGTAATTCAAAGGGATAAAGTCAATCAGGTAAAAAAAAAGGGGGGGGGGTAGATAGAGAAGAAAAATTCTTGGCCATGAGGAAGGAATAAAAATGACGAATTTATAACTATGCATGTACTGAACAAGGTAATAGATACCATCTGGATTTTCAAAAAACAAGAAATCATTACAACAGAAGAGCAATACCCCTGGCTCTTTGGTAACTGGCATTGGTTCCCCAGTAAAGCTTGACTCATCAATGGTGCTTCTACCTGCTCTGACTATTCCTTCAGCTGGAACACGGTCCTAGAATAAAAACAAGAATATTTGTCAAGAAATAGAAGTCTTCTACAATAAAAGAAAATTCACGAAACTGTTTAGCACAAGTTTGAAAGAAAAAAAAACAGAAAAATAAATGTTCTAAGTTGGGAAGGAACTACATTCTTTGCTAAACAGAACATAATTATAAGTGGGAAACACATCACAAATAGGAAAACAAGAAGATATGAGATGCTAACCAGATTGCACGACTATTTACTTACTCCTGGTAGTACAACAATTTGGTCTCCAACAGCGAGACTGTTACAAGGAACTTCGACAATTGAACCATCAACCATAAGACGAGCTTGTGAGGGCAAACTACTAAGAAGTCCAGTCATATCACTGGTTGCTTTGATTTTTGCTCTTTGTTCAAGGTTCCTTCCTAACAAGACGAATGCTATTAACATGACTGGTTCCTCAAAGAATGCCTTCCAACCCTGCGTGCAATCATTCAAAATGATTGTATAGTTAAATGAACGGAGAGATGCTTTAAGCAACTATATTGAGCCTTTATAATGAGATGCCAAAATAGCACCAAAAATTGAGACTGCATGCTGAAATTTAGCAATTAAAGAGTGACAGTAAACTGAGAATATTTGTGATCGGCTTTTCTTCGACCTCTCTTCTAAATTCCAATAAGAGGATCTATTTGGTTTTTCAAGCTAGCTGGCTTTTATATATCATAGAATGTGACTTCTATTATTTGCCAACTCATGGAAGCTGTATTTCAGTTCAAACAAAATAACTAAAAGAAGTAAGGCAAAGAGAATAACAAGAGAGTCAACAAGACAATGAAATCCTGAACTAGAACTACTATCATTTATAAATACAAATCTCAATATCATAAGCTCCGACTCTAAATACAAAATTACTGTCAAGGCTGAAATTAATCAAAACGTAAAATGAGAAGCTAATACTAATAACTGAAATAGGAATCAGTTATGATATATACAAAGCGAGATCAAAGTATGCTACCGAAAAACATGCACTTGTTAGTAGGGGAAAAAGTCATAACATAAAAATTCAAAAATTTGAAGTCATAAACATGCTATAAACAATATAGATATCAAAACGCAAGCTAGTTATTTTACAGCATTTCATATGTCTACACACACAAAATATGAATACATATAGACTACACATGTACGAGTAAGGATCAAGGCTTACCAATTTTGGTATCAAGACAGCTAGTGAACTAACACCAAAAGAGGATAAAGCCCCAAGACCAACCAAAGTGTTCATGTTTGGAGCTCCCTTGAAAAGGCTTTTCATACCCTCAAAGATAAGTTGACGCCCAGGACCAAGCAAAGTAAACAAAGATAACGACAAATGGAACCCTGTTGAATGAAATGCATGCATCCATGAAGCCTTAGCTCCTAAAAAATGGGCAAGATGGCCAATGAGGCACACGGCACATAAAGCCCAAGAGACTGCAAGCTCACGACCTATAACAGAGTAAGAAATTAACCTTGATTTCAGAGAAATACAACCACTGGTATGCTATTGCCTATTACAATCTACTAAACAAACAAAGAACGTGAAAAGGCATCTACCACTTTCTTTTAAACGGTTACGCTTTTCATCCATCTTTCTTTCAAAAACTTTGAAGAAATTGTCATGTCCTGAATCTGAATGGAAGAAATAAGCCAAGCAGTCAATTCATTTACGTAGACTAGTAGTAGGAACTTATGGAATAATTTACAAGTCTGAAAAATACAAGTTATATCTTTAAAAAACCAAGGCAGGTAAATCAATAAAACAGATCAGAATGGCTAAACTTTGCCGTCAAGTAAAACACAATGAGAACAATAAGAATAAATAAAACATTCCTAGTTAAATTACCCATGACCAATTCACAGCACAATCATTTCTAGCAATTAATCTCGAAGCAAGTCAATACCAAGAAAGCCCTTTTTTTCTTGGAGATGGCGACATGGATAAGATTCTACCATGGTGCTCTATTTAGGACCATATCCATGCTCTTAGACAATGTCAAATAGCATATGGTGTTGGTTATATTATGGGCAAACAAATTTACAACAATAGGGATGAAAATTAAAGGAAACTAAGAGATACATTGATACATGGCCATGATATTTCATCTTAATTAACATAATGTTTATTAGACAGCCCGTTTCTAAATGTGTAGAGGTCACTCACAATTCTTCAACCAAAAAAAAAAAAAGAGGTCACTCAAAAGAGGTAACAGAGAACAGAACCTCAGAAACAAAGGTTGTTTGAGTATTACTTCACAAACTTCAACTGCAGTATAATAACTTCGCTGTAAATTAGTACAAAACAGGTTCTGTAGAAATAGAGAAGAAAGTTTTGGAACATAGAGGAAGCTGGATTCTTTTTATTTTCTCACTCAGAAAACAAATACATAGGTTAGGCCTGATATAGATTTACAAGGAAGATAGGTAGATACAATAGGAAAACAATTCATAATGACCTACTAGGAGTTAACCTAATATAATTAATATCCTATCTAATCTCTTAATTAGATAAGATGTAGAGTACAAAGTAAATAGAAAATAAAACTCTAACACTTAAGTTATGCGGCTAGAATCTACAAGTTCTCTTTTAAATATCATACAGAATAATGCTAGTAACATTCCAAGAATAAAAAGACCTTACTTTCCCAATAATTACTATAGAATTGTCATGACTAATTCCTCAAAATATTAGGGGACTTCAGCACCATAAAATCCTCTCTCCAACCATTTTATGCAAGTGGTTGCTGGCTGACATATTGAAAGGAGAAATGATAAACTAATTATATCTGACATCAAAGCTTAAACACATCTATATGAAGAGGAGAGTCACAAGTTCCAGAGACATACCATGGGGGATTATGATTGCTATTCAATATTTTTTTCCATTATTTTGTCGAGACATCTCCTTCAATAGCTTCCTCAGCTACCACTAACCCCACCAAACTTACATGAACATATTAAAACCCGATCATATGTTATAACTCTCTCTTTTAAAATTAGATTAGCTTAATGAATCATCATTCACAATAGATCTAAAGATCTATTCTGGAATACCATAAACATATTTTTGTTTGATCAACATTTCATAATTGATAATCCTGCACGAGGGGTAATATATAATACTTCAAGCTACTAGAAAAGAGGAACTTCATAACCAACAACTTAGAAACCAGTGATAAATACATAGTACCTGCAAAGTAACCAATCAATAACCTGAAATTCAAAACTCATGATCTCCAAGAGCCATGTGCATGAGAGCAAATTTTAGAAAGGAACCTCAAGTACATAGCTCTACCACACATTCTGTTATAGTATGATGTTTAGAGCTACATGACAGAATAGAGCCCCGGTAAGCAAGATCTTTGCGAGTCTAAGTGCCTAATGGCTCAATACTTGGTTAGTCCTAAGGCCAGTACATGACTCCATGACAACATTTTAAAACACTATCACTCTGGCAGCACATATTAAGATGTTATCAATTATCCGGACTACCTTTACTAAAAACTTCCACTTTTTGACTTTTTAGCAAAAAGAAAATAAATCAAATTAAAAATAAAACAAATGGGAAGGGGTTACCAATCCAATCACAAGCACAGTACACAGGATTTATGAAGTATGACAATCAAATCAAGCACATGATCCAGTAATAGGTGAAAAGAAGTACGCAGACCATATTCAAACAACAAAGAGTTTTTGCAGCAGAATGAATATGAGTGTTCATTACCTCGCAGGTTAGAACTAAAACCACAGTTGGTCAACTGTCTAGCTAACGCCTCTCCGACTTCTTTTTGCCAATTTGGTAAAACCTTGGCTTCAGAAACCGGCCATACTATTGCTGTCTCAGTTGCGAGATTGACACTTGCAGAGGATACTTGGGGCTGCACAACAACGCAATAACACAATGAAAAATGCAAATAATTGATTCACAAAAGGAAAAACATAGAAACAACTTACTTGATTTTCTAGTATTCTCTTCACACTTGCAGCACACCCGCCGCAAGTCATTCCCTAAGACCAGAAAAATTAAGGCCAAGAATCAATAACCCAAGTCGATTTCTTCTGTCTAATCTTAAGAATCAAATACGGAGAGAGAGGAAACCATACCGTAACATCAAGAATAATAATATCTGGAGATAAAGCAGATAGCTCATCAGCAGCTCCCGATCCCAATTTAGCCTTCGAGTCTCCGCCGTCATTTCCTCCTCCACCAATTCCGCCTCCGCCGCTACCGCTTCCATTACCTCCATCAAACACTCCGCCGCCGCCGCCAGAAGTCCCAAAATAAGCCGCGGAACCCGCGACGCACTCCAAACGGAGGAGTAAGCGTTTGGAAACGAAGGCAGCGCCCGAACTCCTAAGTGGAGACGTATAATAGCGGGAAGCCAGAGGATTAACTCCTCGGGCATGAGCGAAGAGGCTAGAGTGGATGCATCGAGCGATGAGAGGGGATTTGTTGCTGCACAAATGAAGATTTAATGCTCTGGAGATGGAGAAGAGAGTCAATGTCGGCACTGAAACTGAAAGCGCTGCTTCCATTTCAAGACTGAAGTCGTAGGATATAGAAGAAGAAGAAGAAACGGTAATATGAAATTTCTGGCCTGAAATCAAAGGCATTGATGGTCGTATCGTATCTACCTCATTTCAGTACAATTATTCGCGGTTGACCCTGTCAAATTCAATATATAAACGTCTTAAACCTTTCATTTACGTTTCTTTGGTAAATCTTCTAATTCACGAATTTTGCGGGTCAAATATAAAAGAGAAAATAATTTCAGTGACCAAAAATTTCATATAATATACGATTTTAATTAATTTTTTTTAGATTTGCTAAAATGACTAACAAAATCGTAATGCGATCGCTAATTCGTAACGCGATCTCCATTATCGCAAATCAGTTTCCAGATTGGCAACGCGATTATGACTATCGCGATGCGATTTTCTAATTTCGCGTTGCGATTTTCCCAATTCGCAATGCGAATAAGTAAATCGCAACGCGAATTGGGAAAATTGCAATGCGATACTGACTATCGCAATGCGATAATACAAAATCGTAATGAGATACTGACTTTCGCAACGCGATACTGACTTTCGCAACGCGATTCTGACTTTCGCAACGCGATAATACATAATCGCAATGCGATTTTCAAAGCGCCATTAGTATCCTGGCCAAGTATTTTATTTTTAAATTTCAAACACGAATATTAATATATTGGAACACTGAACCGTCCACAGTATATCCCGTAATCGCAACTCATAACCTAAAACCTAAAATCACAACTCAGTCCCATCTCCATCTCTCACCCATCTCCGACGAAATCCGTCCACATCTCCGGCGAAATCCGTCTATCTCCATCTCTCAGAGCCACCCTCACAATCAGAAATGGAAAATCAACCACCGAGGGTTAGTTTTTTTAATTATTTTCTTTTTGAAATTTTTGCATTATTATTAGGTTTTTCATATTGAAATTGATGATAAGTTTACTGGTAATTTCAATAATAGATTAACCATTTCACTTAGATTGCTTATTAAATCAACCGAGAATCGCAACGCGAAATGAAAATCACAACGACAAAATCGCAACGCGATTTTAGTTTCGCGTTGCGATTCTCTCGTTGCGATAGTCAAATTCGCGTTGCGATAGTCATTTTCGTGTTGCGATTTTCATTTTCAGAAACTATTCTTCTTCTGCAAATTGAAACTTGAATGAATTGCATTACTTCAACAAAAAAACAAAGACAAATACGAAATTCACAGTGTTGCAAATTTAAGTTTGAAGAATAAATTATTACTCTTTATGTTTATTATTGTTTTTGGTATATCTTCACAATGTAGTTTTTGGTATATCTAACTTAGTATGTTTATTGTTTTTGTAGAACTTTTATTCGGCTCAATTGACCTTAAGAAATAAAGTCAGCCTGGCCAAAACAATTGCGTCGAATCTTTCACCTGCACAAAGAAAAATGTTTGAGTATACTTGCTTCGGGCCATGGCTGAAAGTACAACATCCCGGTGGAGATGCGATGTTGACACACCTGTTTCTTCAAACCATGACTAGCGATCTACCAGAGACTATACAACGTCGTGATGAAGAGATATGGTTTGATTTTCCACTGGCGTATACCTGTTTTGGGCGGGAGGAGTTTTGCTTAATCACCGGTCTACGCTTCGGACACGATGATGTAGGTCGGTACACTACACACATTACCCGCCCATCATGGCTATCCCTGGTTTTTCCTGAGCTGGAGAGGCCGAATCTACACGTGGAAGACCTGACGAGATTATTGAATAAGAAAGATGGTTTTACTCGGATGGATGACGTCGACGTTGTCTGAGTATGCCTTCTAATACTTTTGCATGCCGGATTTTTAGGCAGAGAGGCCAAACAACCTATTCCGAATGATCTAATCAAATTGGTAGAAGACCTAAATGCGTGGAACCTGTTTCCGTGGGGCTCGTATTTATGGAAAGCTACATGGAATAAGTTATCGTCTGCCTTGGATGATCGAAAAAGTTTGCATGGCGATGGTTCCAAATACACTTTGACAGGCTTTATTTGGGCCTTTAAGGTAAGAATTTTTATATAATGTTTCCAAAATTATAAGTAATTATTTAACAATTACTAATGTTTGTTATTATATTGTTTGTAAATTTGGATATTTGAGGCCTTTCCCACCATGAAGACATATGCAATAAAAACTTCAAATGATATTCTCAGGGCTATTTCCTGGAAGAGGAAACAGACCTTGCAATGGGAAGATTTACATTGGTATACGACAATAAATAATGTAAGTTAACATAAATACTACCATATGTTTATAAACAAGTTATTACTAGTACACGTTTAACTTTGTTTGAGCTTTTATATTGTTAGGAGGCCAACATTCCTCTACAGAGGCTGACACCTACGGAAGCTGAGCTTGCCACTGATTGGTGGCAAGCTAGTAAGCATTTTTTGATGGAACGGATGATGAGAAGCCTCCACTTTGGGAGCCATCACCTCACCCAGAGCCATCACCTCACCCAGAGCTATCACCTCACCCAGAGCCATCACCTGATCGACCCGACTATACACCTCCACAACGACAGCCATCACCTATTCTGTCACATCATCGAGCCTCTTCTCCACCATCACCGTAAGATAGGAGACCGGTAAAGATGCCACGACGTTTATCTCCCTGTTCTCCACCTCCACGAGATGAGTTAGGGGAGTTATGTGATGAGGTCAATGCCTTGTGTGAGGAGGTCGGTACTTTACGCAAAGACGATGGTGCATGGCGTGTTGAGGTGTCTACTTTACGCGGTGAGGTAGCCGCTCTACGTGAGATGGTAGCATCGTTGCAGAATGAGGTTCATACTCTACGCAACGAGGTAAGTTTAAGATTTTTCATATTTAACTTGATGATAAATTTACTCGTAATTTCACTTAGATTGCTTAATAAATTCATTCGGTTGCTGCCAATACTGCTAAATTGTTTTTGTTAGTATTTGTTTTTGGTTTTGTTTTTATCTTTTGGTTGAAGTAATGCAATCCATTCAAGTTTCAATTTGCAGAAGAAGAATAGTTTACTTTCGCAACACGAAAATGACTATCGCAACGCGGAAATGGCTATCGCAATGCGAAATGAAAATCGCAACGACAAAATCGCAATGCGAAATGAAAATCGCAACGACAAAATCGCAACGCGAAATGAAAATCGCATTATTTCCGCGTTACGATAGTCATTTTCGCGTTGCGATAGTCGTTTTCGCGTTGCGATTTTAAGTTTCATGTTGCGAAAATAAACTATTCTTCTTCTGGAATGTTTATATATGTTGTCCTTTTAAATGTTTATATAAGTGCTTACTTCTGAAATGTTATCTGAGCATTTTGTGAACTATGATAGAATAATGACTTGGGTGAATACAATGCTAGTTTGAAACATATTTGTCTTTGTTTAATATCATGTATATTTATTTACTGATTTATGTATTAATTTTTTTTAGCGGCCCGATAAGGTGGATACTTTACGTCGGGTTTTCCTTGCACGACGGAGTTCACGCATCAGACGGCGTGCACGTGCTATTACATCTCCGTTCACCCCAATGGTGCGAAGACTCTGCAAGAAGAATGTAACACCCCCAACCCGTATCCGACCCGGATACGAGTCCGAAGTGTCACATTAACTTTTCAAACCTTGACTCTTAAGAAAAATCCCGGGAAATTTAAAACTTTATTAAATCAAAATAAAGACTTTATCAGAGTGCTCGTACTTAATGACTTATTACATGCCAACACTTTATACATAACCCAATACATACTTTGACAAATATTTCTGATCTGATCTTTTGGTAAGGAAAACTGACCTGTCTTGCTCCGCATCCCTCCTTACTCTTCTCGAAACCTACGTGTGAAACAATCACACGCTAAGTCGAAGACTTAGTGAGGCATAATCACTTATAATGCACTTTAAAACATATATTGATACATGCATGTTCTGTTCTATCATGTTATAGCAATTCCAGGCATTTTTCATATCGTATAGAATCATATCAGATTAATCGCAGTAAATTCATACATACACATAATTCATCATTCACATGTTATCATATAATCACATACTTTTTCAATCAAACACTATACACACAACATCATATAATTTCTATAGCATTTATCATACCACTAACTTATATTTGTTCATATCTCTGGATTAGCCCATGTATATATGTGAGAACTATTGATATGTGAGTCTATAGAGGTTGTGCACTATGCTGTCACCACAGCTCGTATAAATGCACCGAAGTGCCCGTAGAATTGCACCGAAGTGCCCGTAGAATTGCACCGAAGTGCCCGTAGAATTATGTCCATAAGGACCACATAGAATTCCTTAAGAATCATATACATATACTATGGATCAAGTATGTGTCTTTCAAGACTTCACACAGGTTCCAAAGGATATACATATGTCCTAAAGAACCGAATAAACCCTCGACTCTTGGCATGCCAACTATACCCTAGCTCTCATGACACATAACATGGGCGTTATCATTTATTTCATTTCAAATATACACATAAACTTGTAATTCACTTTCACCTATCACGTATCACATAGCTTCTTTTCATATGATCACATAGTCACGTAGTTCACTTACCCGTAGATCATTTCCATATAATTCACATGTCATATATGTCATGTTTTCATATAATTTCTATCATTTCTCACCCAATCCACTGTATTCATGTAAACATACTTATCATATCTTGTTCACCTAAGATCATTTTCACGTAGCTTATATTCATAGGTTTTGTCTCGTAACATATACTTGTTTTCACATATATATTTCCTATAAATTCTTATACCATCACATAATTCCTTTAACATACATAACATATCATGTAACATCATAATAGAAATACTTATAAGTCATATTGCTTATATCTTAATCGTATGCCTTCTCTTAAACATATATATATATTCACATGTTCAGGTAATTCACCATTTCATCACATAATTGGGTATTCATATAACTCATTTCATTTCATATCTATCTATATATATATATATATATATATCCTCAAGATTATCCTAATATAAATCATATAGCACTCTTATATTTCGTATTCATCTAGGGCAGACTTATAAACATATCTT